GAACTTGGAGAGCATTTTGGATGTACTTTTGTAGAGCTTGAACTTGTTTTATGTAGCACATGTAACAAGATATATTAAGTTCTTTTGGCCTGTAATGATGTAACAAGAAGTTTAAACTCGTTTTTAATGTAAATTATCCATGACGTAAAATCTATATTTTAAACTTATGCAATTGATTCCAAATGATGTTTAATGTGACCACGTGTTGGTTCTTTCGTCTGTGATCATAGAGTAACACTTGATTGATGACCTATCTCGAGTTCAAACCATTGCTAAGTCTCCATTACAGCTTCCCTTCCATTTTCACAAAGCAGTATGCTAAATTCAGGACCAAGGCTCAAGGGAGTTGTTTCAGTCGACCGAAATGGCTCATCGGTCGACCGAACTGAGTTCACACTCTTAGTATCTCCTGTTTTGGTCGACCGAAATAGGGTTCGGTCGACTGAACCATCTTCATACTCTCAGGATCTCCTGTTTCGGTCGACCGAAATAAGGTTCGGTCGACCGAACCATCCTGCTGCTCTCGGGATCTCACTGTTGGACTCTTGGTTTCATTTGGGGTGTGCTTCGATCGACCGAAGCTCTCCATCGGTCTACCGAAATGCACTGGTTGATTTCACCTTGTTCTTCTTTCCCCGTTTATCCATCCTTGACCCTTGGGTTTGCTTAGAACCTTGAGAGAACTTAGTTTTGATCCTAATGCGTTGTTTTGACTCTAGTAATGATGAGTTTGACGTAATTGACCTCGGGTTTGAGTAAGGACACGGGTAACGGTCCGGATCCACGGATTCTAGTCGTTACATCATGTGATATAAATTACAATCAAAAGGTTGGGTTACTGCTGTATGTGACTCTCTTGGGGCTTAGGATCATCCCCCTCGACATATATAGGACTGTGTCCTAATAAGACACTTGGTTTTTTTAACTTTCTTTTTTTTCCTTCACAACCCAACTATTGGGTTTTTCTTTCTTTCTCCTCAAATTTTTTTTTTTTTTCTCTTCATATTTTTCCTTTCTAAAAACAAAATGATTCATCACTGAATAATACCTCACCGGAAAAATTTTGGAGATGGATGATTTGATAGCTTGAATTGTTAGTGCATCCGAATGCATTTGTTTTTCCTTTATGTTTGTTGCAACATTACAAATTAGGAATTGGCATGATGAGGGAGAATGCAAGCACACATAAACACACACCATATCAGATGAGAGAACTCGGGACATGCAACTCCCGTGCGATCTCCCTCCACCACACAAAACTCAAATTTTATTATGTTGTGACCCACCATGCAAGCTTACTTGCCATGACAAAGGTCATATTGCATATACTATACTTTTGTTTTCTTTTTTTCATATTCACTGTGCACTGTGTCTGTCCCTTGCATTCATGCGCGCCTTGTACATGACTATTAGGTCCTTATCATGTCAATGTCAGTATGTCTTTGAAGCTTGCATTGGATTGCATCATCTCTTGTTGGACCGCAACATGTGCTCGGATAGTGAGGTGGCCAGTTTTTATATTCTTCAAAACATGTTTTTAGCATTTGCCATATACGTCATATTAAACCTCCATATGACACAGAAGGAAGAAAAAATCATTTGTTTTAACAGTCATTATCAACCCCACCTATTGAGTAATCAATGCCTCACAAATTTCTCGACTCAGTTTAAATTTTTTATTTTAGTTTTCTATAGTATCGCGAGTCACTAACCTTTTAAATACCATTCAAATAATAATAATAGAACTGACATACTATTACAGAATTACTCCATTATAGAAACACAATTTTCACTAAATTAAATCATATGAATAAACATTGCAATGAGAGCGGCAATAATATGTAACAGCTTAACATTAATTGTATAGCATAATTGCAATCATGATTAAATGAAATGTAAGCAGGTATTAAAACACATTGTAACGGCTAAACATGTAAATGTATTCCACCAGCTTTCTCTCTTTATAATGTTAGCAGTTATATATCAATAAAATATCCATTTAACAGTGCTATATAACTCATGGCTATTTTAATTTATATGTAATGCAATTTTAATTACACTAATGGACTTAACTACTGAAAGAATTAAGCATTATTCCAGAGGTAACAAATACATGGAAAATAAACTAGCAATGTACACGAAGCAAATAAATTTATATTAATTTATAATATCGAATTTTTCTTTTCAGAGTATATGCAAAAGTGATATCCAAATAAGGCCATAAAACTCATGCCTACAAGCACACGCGCGCGCGTGCACACACACATATATATATGTAACTATATTTCCTTCTTGTATAAGGCCGGAGGAAAAGCAGAATTCACAAATATGATATAGCGAATGCCTAGCATAAACTTTCTTTAGCAATACTTTATATTTTTCTATAACTGATACACCTATCAAATAAATTACTGACAATTCAACGTGTATTTAGATGCATAGGGTCAACAATTTGTTACTATTATAAATTTTCAATTTAAACATTGCATTTATTTATCATTTGATATATGGTTAGTTTCTAAAGATCAAAAAATACTCATTAATTAATGTAACTCATGATGCAGAAACAAATTCAAACATATTCAAACATAACATTATTTTTCAGAATCAAATCACGATGATTGGGAAATAATAGCAGAACCACTAAAATAATTTTAATTGTAAGCAAGAAAACAATTTTTTTTTTTTATCCTTCCAAAAACATAATACAGCAACACGTATTCTTAGTAAAGCGGGTATTTTTAACAGTTTTCAAAATTTCTAAAAACTATTTTCGTTTTGGACAAAAACTTCAAAATCAATTTTTGCAAGGAAAACTTATACAATTTTTAAATCTTTTGTAACTTGTATGTAAAAAGGATAATTATGACTTTAGATAGGAAACATATCAGCTTTAGACTGTTGTGGAAACTTCACATATTTTATAAAATAACACAAATACAGTAAATCAATTCAACATTGTGTATTCATTACAGAATAATTTTGAATAATACATTAATAACACTTTGCAATTCTTTCAATAAAATGAATACAACAATATGAACAGCATGATATAAAGATGAATAAGGATTTAACAATATAATAATTCTGGAATAGAAATTATGAAATGAAAACAATATTAAAATATTATTAAATACAATTTAATAGAATTGTTTATTATATTTATATTGATGAAATAATTATATTTAAATTCTCTATTTATGTCGCTATAACCGTTACACTCTTTTGCACTATAAAAATATTATATGTTTTTCATTCTAGAGATTGAAGTATGGATACGTATATCTAGTTTGAGTGAGACTCTAAAAGAATAGTTTTTATCTCTCTATTATACTCTTCTATATATATATACGTGTATACTGTATTTGAGAGTATTTTATTTATTGAGTTTATAAGCAACTAGACTTATATAAACTTGAACTTAGTCTTTCTGTGGTCGTACACATAGAGGAGACGTCGCTGTAAGTTGATTGGGTTGTATCTTGGAGCTGACTAATTTCGCCAATACTCGCACGAAGGGGAGGACTGCCAGTTTTAGATCAATGTGTTTACACATATTTCAACAATCAGGCCAGTACTTTCTTACCTATTTTATTATTATTGTTTTACTTCTTAATTTATATTATTGAGTTAATATTAATATTATATTGTTGAATTATTTATCTTGTTAAATTCATGTTCATGGTTATTTTTATATTATTCAAATAATGTATTATTCAGTGTAATGAAATAATCGTTATTAGATTATCAATTCATTGGTAGTGTTGTTGATTATCTTAAATCATGTATGAATATTGTACTTTATACTTTTTCTAAATATGTGAAATTTTCACAACACTTTCTTAGATCCTTGTCAACTCCGAGAAAAAGACGATTCCAATATTAAAGAAATGCTATCACGGGAATACCTGCAAAATATAAATTGTATGACTCATTAAAGGAATGGAAAACACATGAAAGTCTATTATAAAAATAAAGTTGTCTCACCATTCATAGTAATTTATAATCAAATTTTGAGCACTAAATGCCTTACGATTTTAAATTTTATATAATTTTTTCTTACTATTATTTGAGATATGGGAGCAAATTAAACCGCAGTCAATCGACTCAACCTTATATCTTGTTAATCTATTGTGCTTAACTAACTGTAATTGTGTGTAACTGTGCTATGGATACTAGAACAAGCATCTTTCTTGAAAGAAATAAACCAATTTTGTTTAGGGTGAATTTACTCTGACCCAAATAAACTTACCAAAATTCGATTACCCCGAATCTTGAAAGAAATAAACCAATTTTGTTTAGGGTGAATTTACTCTGACCCAAATAAACTTACCAAAATTCGATTACCCGAATCTTTAATGAAGTTACAAAATTATCCCCATGACTTGTGTACGTAACTTTTTTTAAATCTTTTACTTTTCAATCCATTCTCAATTTTAATTTTAAATATATATAGAGAGATGGTTATCCCTCAATTTTAATAAGACTTTTTTATTCTTTATTTTTATTTTTCCAACATCAAATTATTTGTTCGAAACATGTTTGTTAAGTAAAATTTTTAAAAAGTAAAAATATATAAACAAATTTAGTAAAAGAAGTGTTAAATGAGTCTGGTTAAAATATGCATATTCGCTACATATATGATATCGTGATGCACCAGATGACTGTTGATCATCCCGTCCGAACGAGGAAAGACCACTGGCCCCAAGATACACAAGGCCAAAGCAGGCATTTGGCTGCGCGGCCACTGATTGCGCCCCCTATTGAAGTCAGGTTAACCTGCGTCGGTGTCAACAAAACCCTACCGAGCAGCTACCATCGGCCCTGGCATCTACAGACCTCTTAATCAAAAGTAACTTGCTTACCCTCGGACCCATGTCCCCATCCTCAGGAAGATGCACAAACACGCTCAACTTTTCATCCATATATTATATTGAAATTTTCATTTGAGATACGTTTGATATATCCATGATCAGCTTTCCAGGAATATATATATACTATACATGTACAATATATTAAGCATATCCCCACATTTTAAAATATATTGAATTTAAATCAAATATAAATATGGTACCCGATCTTGCAAAACAAAATGTATCAATGGTCGTATAAAAAATAAAAAAATAAAAAACAGTAAGTTACACAAAGTCTTTCCCCAGTAGAACAAGGCCCTCGTGCTCTTGCTTTGTGGAGTTATACACTGATGATTCTCAATTGATTTAACAGATCCTTGGAAATGCATCTAATTTCATGGCAATTGTAGAAACCTCAACTTTAACGAAATTTAGTTCCTGTGTTCGGTTTTGTCAGCATCTCAATAAATCTGTACATCCAACGATCTAGCATTCCTGTCGACACAACAGAACAGTAGGTAATGTCATGGATGACAAAGAAGCCTTCACTCAAGAAACCAACCAGGAAAGTAATCAGCAGATTCATCCAATAATGTCAAACATCAACCTCTTCAAACTCTTCCGAGACCAATTTTCTATTTTCAAAGTACACAAAAATTGAAAATAGTACGAAAATTCATTTGGTTGAGTTTTCCAAACAATATTTTTTGAAAATTGAGTTAAAAAGAGGATGTGTTATCCAAGAACAGCATTTTGTTTTTATGACAACAGAAAAACTGAAAACAGTCCACAGTACTCTAAAAATTATTGTCGGAAAATTGAGTTAAAAAAGACTTCATATCATGGAATAATTGGACAATTTTCTTTTTTCGAAGTTCAATTCAAACATTTCTACGTGAATTTCTATTTGAAACCAAATTTGTAAAATTTGCCAAATATAATGATCTTACTTTCGCAATTTTGTCAATTTTTGATAAGCACATTTTCATGGTTACCCAAATTGAAAAAAATAAATAAATAAATTGAAACTCACATTTTAGAATTAGTTTTAAATTTCACCATTTTGGACAGAAGTACATCTATTTCTTCCGGACGAATTTTTTACCCGTTAAAAGTTCACATCATCATCATCATCATCATCATCCTTACCTTTATCACGAAGAAATGGGACGGCCAAATCCTCATTTTATTTTGCTCATGCTGCACAATTTATGTCAAATTCAAAGACCGTGGTAAAAGAACAAAAAACATACCTGTTACAGCAAAAGTACCACCTAATACTGCACAAAGCCGAGTGATGAAGTGAAGAAAATTACGACGTTCTTCTTTGATAGTCACGGTAATTGGTGACAAATCATACAAAAAGTAGACAGCTGTATCAAACAGTAAAACAAGGGCTTAGTTATTGATGCCCACTACCACTGAAAAGATGGGAACCGAGAAGATTGAAAAAGACTCCATGTGAAGAATGGTTGAGACAAACCTGGCCATGTCCTATCAAACTCGTTCATAGGGGAGAAATATTCCGTAACAGAGAATTGATTAGTTGGCAAAACTTCTTTCGAGAGATATTTGTACTCAGTCGGAACAATCTACATCACAATTAATAGAGTTCATAATGTACAACTGCAAGGGGAATGCGAAAACATTAAGTAGAAATCTCAATTCAAACAGGAAACTAAATTAAAATAAATATTCTGTATCTTTCATTTTTTTTCTTTCTTAAAGGACAAAGTTGAGGCTATGGATTTCTTGAACAAATGAACAAGACGATTAGTATGAAATAGACCAATTTTGCCTTCTATTGCATTTTATATGATTCTACTTGCATTTATTTCTAGGGGCCATAGCTTGGATAAAACGTAAAATTTTCAAGTAGCCAAGCATGAGAATGCAGGTTTGTGTATAAGAGCCAGACACTTTGTGGAAATTATGCCAATAATTAAGTCCTCGTTCAGTATATGCCCCTCAGCATCATAAATTATTAAGGCCAAAACTGGGCAACGGCCTGCATATGTTATTGTTGTGAATATAAGAAAAGCATATTAAGATTATTCCAATAAATAGTTGGTTCCCGATTCCTTTGCCGTTTACTCTTATATCTCTATATTACAGTATTACACTATAAATTAGCTCGCCAAATGGTATTCAAAATCAACTGATTAAAAACATCTTTAAATTGACTAACAGTAAAAGCCACTAGTTTTAAGAATACATAGAGTATCACAACTCTCCTCTGGATTGCCAATTTGACAACAAACAAAAATTATTTGACAGTTAAAGAGAACAAAGAATTCTTGTAACATGATGCATTGCTCAATCATCACAACAGGATCATTCATTCTAGAGTAAAAGGAATACTCAATTTCCTACTTGTATGAAATTCCTTTGACTACCGTTTTTGGTGCCAATATTGGGTCTTCTCACTTAAGCTGGGCACCATAAGATGGAGAGTGCAATTAGACCGTTAAGGTAATTATAAAGGGGAACTGAACCAGTACAAGGTTTGGTACAGAATATAGGATCATCCTGCCAAAGCTAAGCTTTATATACATTATACATGGTAGAATCAGACCCTTAGAGGCTTGTAAACTCTCTACAGTAAAAATAATCTTATTAAAGGAAATATCAAAAAAATATATTTACAAAATCCATAGGTATATAAAAGAAAGCTCAGCATTCATACCTTTATGTAATATTTGAATGTTCCACTTGCACTGTGAAGAATTCGTGCAGTCCCATCCAGCGGATTATGAAGTCCCGGATATTTTGGCCCGAATGACATGTCATGAACAATATGACTTACATTGACATGAGTAGCTCCTTCAAAAATCTGTGGGGAAAATGAAACAGTACTCTATATGAAAAAGAGAACTAAGAACGATAGACAAAAAAAAGATGCAGTTTCTAGAAGATACATAAAAAAAACCTGCCTAAGAGCCAGTAAACATACTTCAATCTAGAAGATGCCACTGGTAGTGAGATCGAAGAAGCTCATTAGAAGGATCAAAATATTAAATAATCTAGCATTTTCTTGTAAAGCAACACTTGTGTGTGTGAGTGTTTTGTTTGTGGGGTGAAGGAGAGGGGGAAGGGGGTGATCCTTACCCACTTATCTTGCCAACTTGCCAAACAAAACTGTTTTTACCACCTGGCCTGTGGCATGGGTGGAAACCTCTAACTCTACGTCCCCAAAAGGGAGGTTAAGGGTCCAAACCCCAAGTAGGGTAAAATGCGTGTGCAAGGTACTATATATTACTATTATTATTATTATTTGAACTCATCTGAGGTGTTGAATGCCTCGTTTAAAAAACACGTAAGAGTTCACAAACTGATCTACTACTACCCTTGGACAATTGCTAAGAATGTTTGTAAAAGGAACAGAGCAATGTATTTGTGTAGGAGCACAAATAAAATTAACTAAAGGCAGTGTTCGACCTGATAAGGTGGTAGTATCTCTGTGAGCAATGTAATATACAAATGTGGTTCATTTTGGGAAAAAGGTAAACGCTTAGACCCTGACATTTATGAGTGATAACATGCTTTTGACTTGTCAGGGTGCCCAAGCAAAAGAGTTGGTGATCAGTGACAACCTCCTTTAAAGTTGCATTAGTGGAGTGAAAAGCACGGTTTTAAGGCCCAAACCTTAATTTGATCAAGTTGGATCATTTATTGGTCTTTTAATGTGGACTTTTAAATCAGTCAGCCCTGGTGTCTTTTATGCGCTTTTGTTCATTTTATTAAAATGGTTAAAAGATTAGAAGTCTACAAGACATGATCAACACTAGTGCAAATCATGGATTACCTCCATTATAACATAAGTGTAAGAGTCATGCTGAGTAGGAACTACTATAAAAAGGGCGTAATATTTTACTCTACCAATGATTGATTGAATGACTAAGCCTTACAAAATCTTGTGCCAGATTCACAAACTTTGAGGGTGTTAACCCTTCCCTAACTATGATGCCTAGGCCTTACTGGTGGGACTGCCATAGTTTCTTGCTTATCCTTCCCCTCTAATTTTAAATGGTAAATTACAATGACCCTCCCTCTAGTTTAGCAAAATTACAGAGACCTTTCCTATGTATTCAAATTTACTCACTACCCTTGAGGGTTATGGTATGGACCTATGGTAATACTTTCCCATTTTGTTACCGGTGAATGCTAGTCAATGCCAAAAGTTGATTATGTCAGCAAAATATTTGATTAAAAAGTCCTTTTTATCCTTAAAATGTGCAAAGATAATAATGTGAGAGAAAATTAGTAAAACTGCAACTTCCATTAACATTGTCCAATGACAAGATCTGACTAGGAAATACTGTAATTTCGCTTAACTTGAGGTGAGGTCAATATAATTCACCCAATTTTATTGTCTAATATTTTTATTAATTTTATAAAGTAAAATATTTTATTTATGTTAAATAGTGTTTAATATAAGCATTTCACTTGTTTTCAAGCAAAAATATAATAATATTGAATCATTAGATATGCTTAAATGGTGCATTTCCATCCAAAAGTGTCGGGGACATATCCCATATCAATGGCCCAATATAGCGTGTCCGACGCGGGTACTTCAACTACTTTTTAAGAGTCCGAGTACTATAGGTGCTTGAACTATCATTTTTTAGCAATTTACTCTCTGAATTTCTAATTTTGCAACAAACCCCCCTGAACTTACTCAAAAGTTTGCAATCTCCCCTGCTGTTTGCTGAAAGTCAGAAAAGTGACAAAAGAATAATCATGTGTATTTCACGTGGCAAATCAGTTCTAAAATCTTTTTTTGGTCCTTTTTTATTGACTAAAATGTAAATGGATTAGTTTATGATCCATAAAACAAGGGGTTGTGGCTCTATTTAAAAATAGAAATTGGAACTATCAAAATAGCTCAGCTCCCGGACTCAAATTCGTAGATTCTAACTGAATGAAAATGATGGCTGATGGCTGAGGAACTAATTCTTTCGAAATTCCTAGGCAAGCCCTTTTGGCTTGAGGGTCAGAATTACCTTGGATCAGATGGGTATCGAGTGTGACCACAAAGAAGAGATTTGTTTAACAAAAGCCCTTCACGGTGAACCCAATTCATAAGAAAATTCCTGCGCTGATTCACAATGGTAAACCTATGTGAGAATCACTAACGATAGATCAGTATATTTACGAGGTTTGGAAGGGCGGATCTCCTTAATTTCCTTTTGATAATTACCAGAAAGCACAAGCAAGATTTTGGGCTGGCATAATTGACAAAGAGGTCTGTTATATAGTATGCATATACGTGTCAAAGTTTACCATGTGTATATATTATTTTTCTTCATCAAAGTGCATAGAAGAAATGGTGCATACATGTGTGCTTAAGGATATAACCAAAAGTAATTGGGTGGTTACCCCAATGTTAAGTGGTGGAATTGTAAGTCGTAGACCAAGTCTAGGAAGGCATCCTAGGTTCAATATCTCCCTTCTAGCTAGTCTCACGTGTTGTTTTTTGGATTAAAATTAATTCATGACACTACCTAGGACATCTAATATGTGTATGAAAAACAAGAATGGACACATACCATTCACAGCATCTGTTATCATCGGACCTCAAATAAAATGAACACAATAGTTACTGGAATGATATTGTGTAATTAACGTTTGCGCGCGTGAGGGGGGAGAAAGAACGAAATTTTCATTCCAACCCGTCAAATAGAGGTTGTTTTGATTGCTACATATATTTCCTCTGGCGATGGCATTTTCGTCAATTAAAGCATTGTAATGCCGATGTTCCTATTTGAAGGGACTGCAATTTTTTTGGTAAGTCTAGGGGTTTGTTACCAAATTAGAAGTACAGGAATGTAAGTAGCAAAAACTGATAGTTCAGCAGGGTTATTTGCAGTTTGACCTTTTGTGATAAGTAAAGATTGTATGAAAAGCATTTAAAAGGGGAACGCATCCCCTCAAAAGCTACACAAGGCCAAATAGGGCCTCTAAATTCTGTGCATATTTTTGTGTATGCAGATATTTGTAAATATATATACACAATAACTTGATGATCATTACTAATTATAATATTAGTTGGAATTGATACTTTAGATCCACATAGATCCTATTCTTGTTTTTTTTTTTTTTTTTTTTTTTTTGTCAATCAACGTTTCTTCTTTTGCGCTGCTTAATAACCAAACAATTGAATCGCTTATAATGATTACTATCCAATTTATATCTTCTTTTGATACTCATTTTTTATCATCACAGTATTCTTCAAAAAATTTATTCTACTCCTCGACTAGGGTAGGGTAGTCAATGAATTTTTTTTGGAATAGTTGATATTTTGATAGAATGATAGAAAACGTATTATTTCGTCTAAAAATCTGAATAATATTCATTACTTGAAGTGGTTCTTTCAGGCATTGGAGACGCTTCGAATTTGACCAATTGAGATATATACCAACTCATTTGATAAATCTCCTTGTATCTTTTGTTTTCAAATAGAGAAAATTACAAAACTCCTAAACGATCAGTTTTTTGCAATAAAACTTCTAAACTATTAAAATAGCAAAAGAACCCCCGAGTTTTCACAAATTGCAAATAGACTCTTGGTGTGTGTTGTCCGTAGTGAAGAAATGGAAAGTATATTACGTGATGTGCATGTGAAAAACTTAAAATCTTGAATGACCATTTAACCCTTTTTGATTAATTTATTAAGGGTTCATTTTTGAATGACCATTTAACCCTTTTTGATTTATTTACTAAGGGTAAAACTTTAAAGAACCCTTTGAATTATTCAATATTTAAATAGCCCCCTGAAGTTATTAAAAAAAAAAAAAAAAAAACTAAACTATAAAAAAATAAATAAATAAATTGCAAATAATCCCTTCTTCAAATTCAACTTGATGAAATTACATAACTCTCTTTAAAAATAAGAATGAAAAATTTTAGTTTTGATATCAGATCTTTTTTCAGGTGGGTCACAAATGCCCGTGGATCCCTTCCCATGGAGGGCTATTTGGTGCTCAAAGGCCCCAATCAAAGTGGCTTTTTTGTTTGGACCTTTGTCTTGGGGAAGATATTGGACTCAGGATAACCCGGATAAGAGGAGGCAGTTTGTGATCAATTGTTGTTGCATGTGTAAAAAGGATGTGTAAAAAGGATGAGGAAACGATTGATCATCTTCTGTTGCATTGTCCTGTGGCTTGGGATTGCTGTTTTATGATGTTGGGTTTTGCTTGGGATTCCGTGTGTTATGCCCAGGTCATCCATAGGCTTGGTTGAGGCTTGGAGAGGTTGTATAGTGGGTGTCCGAGTCCGTGATTTTTGGAGGGTTGCGCCATTATACGTTTGGTGGTGGTGTCTATGGCTTGAAAGAAATAGGAGATCCTTCAAAGGTTCATTTGCCATTTTATTTTATTTTTTACATTTTGCCAATTAAGGTAATTCGTAGATTGAAGGACAACTAAATTATTTTACTACAGAACTAACAGCTAGCAAACAGCCTATCCTGATTTGCTAACTTCAATAGTCTAGGGACAATCAGAAGCTCTACAAATTATCTGCAAATCCTTTAACACATCACCAATTACACTATAACACCTTTGAACATTAATATACTTTGGAACCATTTTGACCACCAAAGGTATTGCAAAAATGCCAATTCCACTTTCTAGCTGTTCATGCTACCAGCCTACCAGGAGGACCATTTGCTTAACACTGGAGTACCCATGTCAACACGACACAGGATGGGTAAGGATACCCATCCCAACACTTCAAAATAATATAGAGTCTAAGCAGAAGTATCCAACATCAAACACAAGGTGTTCAAGCAACATAAGCAGCAATCAGGATCCAAATTGATACTATGCGCCTAAATACGGTTTTTCAGAACTGGTACCACTAACACAACAAGGAAAGACCTATATAAATGTTGAAGGATTTAAATATTAGATGGTTGTTAAAATGATATCAGAGCAGGCAAGGTCCTGTGTTCAAACCTCACCATCAACCTGATAATTTAAATTGAAACACGTTAGACCAAAAATATAGTTCACACATGAGGGGGCCGTGTTGAAAGATTCAAATAAAAAAGTTACACCCTCTCCAACAACTTAAACTTTTAGAGTAGATGGTTGTTAACATTAAATGTATAAACTAAACTAAGCTAGTTGGATGCTCTGATTCGATTAAAGATATAAAAAATAAAGCTCAGGAAAACTGACCATTTGTGCCACAAAAATGTTTAACCCATGAACTGAAATATGAAAGTTCCCAGCAACCCTTTGGACATCTAAAACACCATAAACCTGTAAGAAATTTAACACCATAAATTATATTATGATTATGTAATATGTTGAAATTCCAAAGTGGGACCAAATTGAAGAATACCCGACATCCTTCTCCAACAGACAGTGCTTGCTTCACCTTCTTAATCATATTTTCAGCATCTTGATCAAAACCATGCAGATGATTGTTGTCCTCATCTGCATTCCATGAAAATCAATTTATGAAACAAAAACCATGCTGGCACAGTGGCCCAAAGAAATTTAAATAACTAACACCTAACATTTGGCAATATTTGTTTGAAGTGGATAATCCCAAACACAATCTCATGATTTCATGCCTAGCAAGCTGAGCTTTTACAAAGAAAATGAAGATCTTTATTTTAACTGACCATAACAAACATTAAATGAAAATCCCTCAACTATGAAATAATTTCAGGCCATGGCGTCCATTGCTCAGAACATAACTAAATCATCAGCAACACAAAGGTATCCTGAATAAAATATAGTCCACTATAAAGGCAACTGTGGCCAATCTTGATGGTAGCTAACTCTTAGCAGACCACGGTAACTGGCTTTTCCACACAGAGAACTGTCTGTGTAGACAATCTAGCAGCTATGTTGTAAAAGTCCTAAGTTATTTATATTTATTTTGATTATAAAGGGAGTTTAAAATGAATCCAAACAATACATCAAAAGTTAGTAGAACATAGAGCCTAACAACAAAACATCAGAAACTCTTCTTTGCCAGAATACGTACCTGAGATATATTCAAAGAGGAGACACAAAACAAATCTTGGAGAAAGAAGATCAAAGTGAAATTTTTGTAAAGAAATCTGTGTGTGTTATCTACTCTTTCTTGCTACGTAAAACAATAAAGATTTTTAAGAACAAAAAAAAGGGTTTGAACGAAATGTTTTTACTGTATGACTATTTCAAGGTGAATAAAATTTGTCACATACAAAAGTATCTAAGAGGTTGCCTTGTCATTGTTGTCATATAAATTGGCGTAACCAACCTTTAACAAATATTTTTAAAACAGAACACCTAACAGAATTTAACTGATCAAAAAAGAAATATTATAGAAATTTATACCACAATGAGAATCACAGTTACAATACAAGCATTTAAAATCACATTTTTCAATTTGGAGTGATCCCTATTGCAAATCCCTTTATCATCTTCATTTCAAGTTTTACCATGTCAATGCCATCCACCCATGACATTATAGCATTGGAACCAATATGACCACAGCCACCAATTCCAAACAAACAAAACAATAGAATCATTAGTTCTAAACAGGGAATAAGCCAAGATTTCAAATCAAATGACTCATTCTTGGGAACAAAATCATTACTCAGGCTTAGCTTTACATGAATGTTTGAATTCACATTAACGGTTCTCCAAATAGAACAAATAAAAATATTGCTGAAAGCTGTATCCCATCATTCAAATGAATTTTTGCATTCGAAGTATAATATGAAGGCAACTTTGCCAATAGATTCAGCTTACCAGGCAACACATAAGAGACAACGGCAAGCATGTGTGGCATGCCAGTGTAGATAGGACATGCTGACTTTGAGAACAAGTCAATGTGCAATGATTTAGGTATTCGGTGATCAGTTTTAGTCAAGAGGTAACTGGGAGTTAAAGGATATGTGAACTTTAACTTAGTGTAATATCTCAATCTGATAGTGGATTTATCTGACTTGACTTGAGTTTTGCCATGTAAAAATCATGGTGTCCTATATTCATGATTTATATTGCTTTAATTTACTAACGTTTAAATGATGTTTTGATTGGGATGTTGGATTGAATGGTATCCAATTTTTTTATTTTAATTTGAACTAGATAATTCAGTAATCAAATTAAAAGTTCAAAAAGTTGTTAAAATTAGTTAAAGCTACCATCAAGATCTATTCACCTCATCTCGATTTCAGTTGTTACCCCATCAGTTAGCTTTAATGTTTTAATAAATTAACAATTATAAGCATGCATTTCTTTCTTCAGAAACTCAGATTTAGCCATCAAAATTCAATTGAAATTGCAGAAAACAAATTGGGGTAGCACTTACATTATTAATAGCAAAGAGGATAAAAAAGAAAGCATAAATAATGTTCTAAGTCAGAAAACAATTATAAAATGCAGCAACAACAATACCATGCTTACGAACAGTATGTTCCTTTTCCACAAGGTCCGACAAATATTCAGTGCCAATGACATAGCCATCACTATTCAGGCGAAGCTGCAGAAATTATCAACTAGTTAAGAGAATGACATAACTGGTGAATTGAACTCTGAGTGTGTGTGTGTGAGTGAGAGAGAGAGAGACCAACATAAAAAATAAATAAATAAATAAATAAGCAAATATTGATAACATGGAAGGCATGGAATTAATGGTTGGAAAAAGTGGAGTCACCTCCTAAAATACTGAAAATATAAACTGATATATTGCCACTTTACTGTGAACACAAGTAACATAACTGATTCAACACAACGTTAATACCGCAAAGGCATACATTCAAAATCACCACTACCTACCAGCAAGTTTTGAACAGATAATTCTTTTCAAAAAAAAATCCTATAAGAATTAGGAATCTTGACAAAACTCATCAATGGGCTAAGCTCAAGTATTGGGAAATTCAGAGGACTTCCTGCAAGTAGTTCAAGCAATAAAACAACCACTCCTTTTGGATCAAAGTTTCAAATATCATTAGACTCCAAAATTCGTAGTTAACAAGAAAAAACATCAATACATTGAGAGTTGAAACACATGAATTTCTCCCAACATTCCAACACTTGAAAGAATATACATTGAACCTAAGTGCCCTAATCTGTCCTTCCAGGTGGGCGGAGGAGAAATCAGCAGGCAGAACAGCAAGTTGAGAGTAAATCTGGGATTAATTCTCAAATTCAGTTTTCTGCATCCATGGAGTCTTATTGGTTTTATTGACCTATCACATGTGGCACTATGCTGAACTACAATACACCAGAAAGCACCAAGCAACTGGATCAAGCTACACTCAGTTCAAAATTGCACAAAACTCTGACCAATAAGAATGGAACCAATGGTCAGAAGGAAGAGGAAGGCATGGGATGCAGCTACTTTGTGCTTAATGTGGTGTACTTGGGCAAAAAAGAAAAAAAGGTGGTCATTAGATGGGAAGAAGAATTCTGTTCTTTTAGTTAAGAGTATTTTCGGGTATTTTGTTTAGTTGGATGATGGGAAGGGTTAATCCCTACTCGAATATTCTTTTTCTTTTATGCTTTTATTGGAAAATTATACATTATATAGGATTGTGTCATTATATAGGACTGTGAAGTACAAAACTTTTAATGAAATCACCTCGTTGCAGTCAGAGCAAATGAGAAGTTTTGGTCATCTCAATTTTCCTTACATTTATATATATAATAAATAAAAGTGACTCGAGAATTACAAAAACAGAGTTCAAATTTGCCTCACATGTCAAGGATGGTCAAGTCTGATTAGCTGATTGATTGTAATGACTTGATCTTGATCACAATGAGCTCTGCTAGCCTCAGCCAAGATCAAGCACAAATTGGACACGAGTAAGCCAATCCAAAATATTTCATAACTTTGCTACACTTATTTCAACTCTATCCCTAAAATAATGAAGCTTTTAAAAATGAACAAAGGAAAGAGGAACGAGAAAAAAGAATTTTTTGTTTGATCAAAAAAGAGAGGACATTTACGTTAAAAACAAATCTACATGATGCAAAATGGATGAGATGCTCTGAGAATCCATATAATGATCTAGGACGAATTAAAATAAATAAATAACTTATCACACATTTGCAAATAAACCTAGGACAAAATTAAATAAATAAATAAATTGCATATCATGCATTTGCAAATAACCTCACTCTACTACCCAAAAAAAATCCCTAAACAATAAAAGATTTGCAAATAAAATTTTATTGTCACTACTGTTAACGGACTAAGAGGATTACATAACTAGCCCTTACAAAATGAGATGACAAACTGCAAAAGAAAACTCCTGAACAATCACTCTTTTATGATTAACCCCATCATACGACAAAAACCCCTGATCAATCAAAAATTTACAAATAAGTAAAGACAATAGTTTGGCATTCCTTACTGGTTGGATGGATTTTTATTTTCCACGTCAAAGGAGCACATACAAAGCAAAGAGCTTTGAGGAGAAGGGGATTGCCTTTGCCCTCAGGATGTCAATTCTGGGGAAGACTCAAAACGATCATCTATTTTGGACCTGTAATTATGCTTCTCAAGTTTGGAAGTGGTTCATTCAGCTTTGCATGTGCCATGTGGGAATGTTCACAGAAAATGCAGTCCTTCAATTGCTTACTATACCTGCTACTTTTTATTGAACTTTACTAGTCCTCAATCGATGGCCCGATTGATTGAGAGGTTTGTCAGTAGTGTCTATCGTTGCCTCAAACTATCAAACCTTACATAAGTCTTTTTTTGGCAACTCACTCTAAACAAATTTCCACAAGGGATCCAAATCATCCAACTTACCAAAACGATTGGATCTTCTATATTTTCTATATATCACTCTGTCCAGGGTATATATTCTGTGTCTCTAAGCATCTAAGAGAGAGAAAAACCTTGTGATGTAGAGGGAATTTGTTTTACTACTCAATCTGAGTTTTCCTTTAGATATAGCATATGTGATTGCATGATCAGCAAGGAGAAGATTATCTTACCGCCGAGGCAAATCAGTCACAGAGAAGCAGCTTGTGTGACAAAGAAATCAGTTGACAGACCAGATCAAAGGCCCGAAAGACTGTAAGTATGAGTTTGACTATGGTCTGTGTCAAGAGGTAACTAGGGGTTCTATTGTGTGGGAACTTTCAACCTAGTTACATTCCTCATAGTGGATTGTTCATGGCAGCACTAAGTCCCATGGTTTTACCCTGTTTAGGTTTTTTCACGTAAAAAAATTGTCTCTGCTCTCTATTTATTTTTGTGGCTGTGTCATTTAATTTGTCTCTACAAGGAATAACTGAAACAAACTAAATTCAAATCACCATCATCAAACATCTACTGTATAACTAATATTTGAAATTAGTATCCATAAGACCTATTCAAACCCCCCACCCCCAGCCCCTTCTACGTCATTCACTGTTTGCATTTTGACATAATCAGATCTTCAGGAACAGTATCAAGATGCAAGAAAACCCTAAAGATCTACCATATCTTCTTAAAAACTAGACCCACTCATTATACTAAACAAAGAATACTCAAATTGGATTATAATAAATATATTTGAAAATATATATAAAATAAAAACTAAGCTATTAACAGGGAGGATTTCAAGCCCAAAAAAAACTACAACCTAACACAGAGGACTACGATAATGTAGAAAATCTAACTAATAGAGCAACGGAATATTGAAAATTCTAAATGAATATTACAAAACACCACTCAAGTGTTTATTAAAAAAAAAATCTTTGGTAAAAGCTGATGAGATATGTAATTGCTTGCAACTTGCTCTCCTCTTCCTGTTGCCACTGCATCAATAAATCAGCCATCTAGGCCAAAAACTATTGCTGCCTCTAGAAGCATTTAGCTACGCCCAACAGATGGAAACAAAGTCTCCAACAACAAAATTATGTTCACACTCTGCAAGTCTCCAATCTAACCTCACTTTAGATAAATAATACTCATCAATTAACACAAAAAAAGATCTTGCTCCACTTTCAACAATTTTCTACAACCCCACACTCTTCACATCATGTCATTCATATTTCAGTTTTCTTTCCTCCTTTCCAAAAGATAGCAGTTCCAATGTTTAAGACACTCATTTATCAACACCTCCTTTCTGAACAGCAGCCTAAATATAAGATCCAACATCAAACAGATCCTACAATATTAAGTGAGCTTCTCCAATCAACATTGGGATGTGGCAGATACAACACCACAATGCACATGCAATCATGCACATATCCACAAATGTTCACACATTAAAAAAAGTTATCGTTATTTACCCTAAAGAAGGAGGAGAGTTCAGTATAACATGTGCAACATGTGATTCTGCTTCCTTGTTGATTTTCTCCCCAGGCTTTCTCCAGAGACTTTTAGACTAGAATACTAAGATATGTATACATTGTTACATTCCTATTTCAAAACAAAATATTTCCAAAACACTCCTATATAGCCACTTCCAATGTATTTTGGAATCCAAATTAGATATGTCATATTGCAATCGGTTGTCCACATTCAGATGATTAAATACCTGACATAAATGTAAATTATTCTCTTCATAGCTAAATAAAAATGCTGCTAGAAATGTATGATTAATTCATATTTTTCATTCACGCATATACAGCATCAAATAGAAAACAAGTTCAAATGCAATATATATCTATATATATTATCTTCATAAGAAAAACAATTGCCTTACTTTCCATATATTCGTATCAAGATCCACTTCATGCTTGCCTGACATATCAATGGCATCCACACTTAACACTGCCAACATATATATATATATATACACGTGTATATACACATATACAAATAGATAAATGTGAGCATTTTGAAACATATTTAGAGGCAGTAAAGCTGACAAAAAAGATGTAACTAAAGGAGAAGAAAACAAGCATGGCAATTAAAAATAAAAAAGAAACATGCTAACCGTCACAAGGTAGGGAAGGGAATGTCATATTAATGTGGATTGGAAGAGTTTCCCCGCGTTTTAAATCAACAGCCATCTGCCAATATAAGAAATTCAAAATCCAAAATTGAAAAGAGAGAGTATAATAAAGATCAACAACTAAATTGCAGTGTAATTATAACTCCTCGCCAAAAGTATAAGAATGAACACAAAACATTATATATAGGAACTTGAGTTAATTAGCAATGAACCTGATGAACTGTATATGTGGAAAGATAATATCTCAGCTCATGCAAGAATAGTGTGGCCATTATCACTAGACCAATAATTGAAACTACAAGAATTGAGAGACATAAAAAGGCTCAAGTCAGTAGCTAGAATCAATAAATCAAGTAATAGAATAAAGAACAGAAAGATTTACAAGTTGCTAATCTTTTCTGACACCTTCCCAACTGATTTGATATAAATGGAGTACAAAGGAGGCCCCAAATAATATGGATCTATTCAAGGCACTATATAAAATTTTAATACTCATTTTACTCGAGAAAAGAAAACAACCCATGGCTACTGAATTTGCTGGAGATATCACTGTGATGCTAGAACTAGTTAGTTTCTAAAGTTTAAGCAACAAAGTTGGTCAACCTCTATAATTCAAGGAGAGTTATTTTCTAAGGTTTTGGGGAAGTAAGACCTAAAAGAATTTAAAGCAGATATTCAAGTAGATTCCAACTTTTCAGTGTCGTATACAAGATAGAAGAAAAAACTGATTACCAAACCAGGAAGTGCCCAAATAAATAGACTAAACAACCTGTGTAAATATCCCTTAAATTACAAGCAAAGAATCAGTACCAAGCGCTCCCGATTGAGTTTTCTGCAACAAGTGCTCTTCTGCACGCGGAAACGCATCAAGGCTTTTTAATGCTTGTTTTACACCCATCCCTTCCTCGTTTGGAATATAAACTACCTGTGATATGCATCAGAATTTTATAAATTATATGGATGACCATATCATGTTTCAAAAAAATCAATGTTGTCAAACCCAAGGGCTACCTCAAAGAGCTAAGATCCTATATGTCTGAAGCACTGGGCACAAGAACAACTAATTTCTTAAAAAATTTACAAGCATCTTTTACTTTGTGCATGTATAGAGATATAGTGCTTGATAACTCTATCAGACGTAACAGAGAAAAATAAAAGAACTCAGCATTATGACTAGAACTGTGAAAGAAAAACAAAGAACTATAGAATGAGGCATAACAACACATAGAGGGACCACATGATGATTTTTATTTTATTTTTGGTGTGTGTGTGTGTGTGTTGTGGGGGGGAGGGGGATGCAAGACAACTTCAAATTTTTAGAAAAAAACAAAAAAAAAAAAAAAATCTAGGTTATTACTTATTCTAAGCATAACAAAAGTTTTGAATAGCAGGATCTTGTAAATCATCCCAACAAGTCCATTCCATAGCAGTAATTGCAGATATAACAAAGATAGATAGATATTAAATCAATACTAATTTTTTTTAAAACAAAAAATAGAACCCAAAAAACAACAATTGGTAACAGAATTCAGATTTTATTATTGTTATGAACAAAATTTCTAGAATCTTTTTTTGAAAACCAATCATGACCTGAAATCAATGTTACATGTACTCAAGTACGTGTATCGGGTTTGTGTACAAGTGTCAAAAATATAAAATCTCTAAACAGGACACAATAACACTTGCTAAATATTTACTCCGTATATTATTAATTTTTTATGTTATGTTCTAATGATGTAACATAGTGTTCAACTAGGCCTTGCACCTGTTTTCAAGCAATAATGTGACAAAATTTTAAGTTATTGGATGTATTTTTTACACGCATGCCCAGCCAAGTAAGTCAGCCACGTATCTCATACCCATGTCCGAGTGTGTTCTGTTTGATATGGGAACTTCACACACTTTTGAAAAGTTCACGTAACATAACTCAGAATCACATAAATATAAAATATTTTAGTGGTAGTTTAATCTATAAAAAAAAAATTCCTGAATGGTGTATATATTATTGATACAAATAAATCAATATTATACATAAGGATTAAACTATCTGTATCTACGTCGACTAATTTCATTGCCTTAGTAACAAATGCTATGAACTAATTCTGTTTTTATCTTCATTTTAAAACATGCAACTTTCAAAAACCAGTTTTCAGAAAAAATAAATAAATAAATAATAATAATAATAAATGTTTTAATCCAGTTCTCTGAAATTAAGACCTGTTTTTTTTAACTGTTGAAAACAATTTTCAAAAACTGTCAATCAAGTGAAATTCTTGTTCAGTTCTCTGATTGAAAAATAAATAAACTGTTATGAAAACTAAACCAAACAGGCCCAAAACATCTCACAGTTTTCTTTTCATTTTTTTTCCTTCGGTAAGTAACCAACACACGCATTTGCCCCTGGTAATTGAACCCTAGACGTCCTCCCATTGGAATCTCAGTGTTGACGAAATAAAAATACACAATATCAAACAAAACATTCAAACCTAATCCATGTGAAGCATGATATCATAATTGAGAATTGAGAAATTGACCATGGCAACAATATCAAATCCATCTATAGATCAACACTTACTAAAGAAATTGATGAACTTTATGTGACAGTGATAAATCAAACTTCTAAAGTCAATTTCGCACCAATGATATAGCCAACCAGTGATGTAGTATGGATGTTGAAAATTACCTGATCGGATATCTCGCCGGAGAGTCGTCGGAAAGTATCGAATGGAAATTCGCGATCGGCGGGAGAGGTTTGCAGATATTCAAACGTTATTACGAGAGAAGAAAAAGGGATGATTCTCTCCGTTAGCTGATCAGTCCGCTATTTTTCGCTGTGACTATCGAGTGGCCGACAAAAGGCCACGTCAAATATAATACTCCAATTACAAAACCAAAACCACTAAAAGCTCCGTTTGGTTAACAGAAATAGCAAGAAAAAAATTTTAATGGAAAATGAAAAAATAATGTAAAGTGAAGGGTGTAAAAAGAAAATTAATTTTTTAACATGCATTTGATTAAGATGTATATTTATTGAGAAAATTGTAAAAAAAATATTTACAATTTAGAATACCTAAATTGTCTTTATTTTATAAAAATAGTAAAATATAAATATAAATAATAGAATAATAAAAAATTAATTAATAGTGATGTATATAAAAAAATATAGAGAGAGTTTTCAATTAATTCAAACCTTGCAAATTACTATTTATTTACTTTCCATGTATGATGGATAACCACTATAGGAATGGAAGTCAAGTTAATTAAAATTTTACCATTAATAAAGTTGTTGGACTGCGTAACAAAAAAAAATTGATAAAGTTCTTGATGGTCTGCAATTATCCTTGAAGTTCTTGGGTAAAATAGGAGCGCAAAAAAAAAGGCCGAAGCAAGTGTTTTGTGCTGGAAACGTTTTGGGGAAAAATATGGAGATGCTGAATCCTAATTTTCAATAATCTTTCCTTTTCATTCTATCCAGACTCCCAAAAAAAAAAAAATTAATAAGATTTTTTATTTCCTTTCTCTTCTCATGATTCTATCTGACCAAACTATGCCTTATGCAAGCATTATGGGCTTAGCTGTGTCGGCAAGGTTTTTCCATCCTTTTTAATTATTATTATTTATTTTATTTTATTTTATTTTTATTTTTATTATTTTGTGTATGTGTTGTAGCCTTCAAAATTTGAGAAAATCATGTGTTTATTCAAGATTATACATCATTCTCAACGTATGATATTTTCTCTCATTCACCTTCATCTTCTCCTTCTTTCCCTTTCGTACATTCTTATTTCATTTTTTCTAAGGTGTAAAACCCTAAACCCCAATTTATTTTAAACCCCATGTCTTCGAATCTTTGGCAATAATAAAAGAGAATTAGCACGAGTCATCCAATGGTTAAAAGATCTAATTGGTAGGGATAACAATTTCCCCCCGCGCCCGCCGAATTTGGTAGCCCTTAAATGGGAGTAGGGGAGGATGTGGTAATTTAATGTAAAACCCGACGCAGGTTCAAAGCAGGGATAGTTTAGTGTCACCCCCGCCCCCGACTCCACCCCATTATATATATATACCCCTTAAAATTGTATTAATACCCTTATTCTATTAAAATTTTTGTATACCAGCCCCTCATATATATATATATATATATATATATTTAGCTAGAGTTAGTGCAGCTCTTCATTCTTTAACATTCACTTTTTTAGAAACATCTAAAGAAAGATCAAAGACACAGTGACTCACACAAACCCTATCCCAACTACCAATTTGCCACTCCTCTAAAGAGAAGACTAAAAAGATACCGACCGGCCTAACGGTGATCTAAAGCTTTGACGTCATACAGCCAATGGTTATCTAAAGATACGACATCGTCAGTACAGTACTCACTTGTTGCTTGTCACTGAATCAACGACAATCTCAAAATCTCACCCGATCTGTCCTTCTGTCCTCGCGATAGTCATATCTGAACGTCGCCAGCACTGCAATTCTCACTTCTCAAACCTCAATTAAATAATCGGTCCTCACCCCTCTCCTCTGGTACATTGGTATTATCTATCTGTCTCCCCCCCTTTCTATCCTGCTCGAGTTTGACTTCATATTTGTACAAAATTGTCATTATTAAGAGGCATATTCAAATAAAAAAGAACATTCACACACACACACACACATCGAGAGAGTATTTATGTGATGAACATTCACACACACATACACATCTGGGCATGAGTTTTATGCTGATAACTCTGTGATTATCATTAGGGTTCCAAACCTCAATGTATGAAACTCTGAAGTAATTGGAACACAAATTCGTGAAACTCTCTTTCTTATTAACGGGTTTGTTTAGGGATGCCAACGGGGTGGGTTTGGGACAAATTTGTCTAAACCCTACCCCACCCAATTTGGAAAAATATCAATACCATCTGTAATACCCCTAATTTTCAAAGTATTTGTTTATTTTATTTTATTGCATTTAAATTATTGTTTGGCTATTTGTCTATTGATTGATTGAAGCATTTGAATTATGCTTTGTTTGTAGCATGGGTTGTTTGCAGTAAATTGTTTGTTAATTGTGTTAAAATGAAATTGTTTAATTGTTAATTGATGAGTTTATTTATTTGCTTGTTTTTTTATTTTTATTTCAAGTCAATTGATTTGGGCTTGTAGTAGCTGGGCAATTGAGTTGGTCTTAGATTACTTGAAGAAAGCTTCGATGGGTTTGGATCATAGCCCATGGTTGGATGCATGTGTGTATGTGTGTGTGTGTTATGTATTAGTATTATTGTTATACGATTAATAGGATTGGGTTGAAGGGATAGGGGTGTAATGTAGTTATATATATATTAGTTCTATTATAGGGTTTACAAGCTCGTGTGTAAAGAGAGAGGTGGGAGTTGAATTAAGGAAGGAAGAAAAGAAGATTACGTGTGGGGTAGCAATCGGACCAGCAGAGCAAACGATGGCAACTCGAAGGCTGCGGGCATTAGAGAAAAAGGAAGTTGGGTTTTCGATCCAAAAACGGTTAGGCAAGTTCTTCATTCTACACTTCTCCCTTTGATTTTGTGTTCTATACGCCTTTAGTATAGCTTTAGGAATTTTTAGACAGGATTATAATCTAGTTAATTTGCATTATTTAAAACGGATTTAAATGAAGTAATATATATGTATAGTTATATGTATATGAAACTATTAAATCTTGTATGTTTATGCATTAAAATTTGGATTTAGGCACTCTAATGTTGATTAATTGCTCCGTAATAATGTTGGACATCAATTGGGACATAGAGGCATGTTTTTGGACCATTAACGGCAAATTTCTAGACTTGGAATGGACCTCCCGAGCTGTTTTTCTGAAACAGGGCTCGAGCACTACTTTCTAGAAAAACAGCGCTCGAGCGCTATTTAAATAGGGCTTAAACACTGTTGTTTAGGGCTCAGGCGCTGGGGCATGTTCTGAACAAACCCGAATTGATTTATTAAGGTTATGAACATGTTACAGAGACTCGGGAACATTAATATGTGGATTTTATGGCATGAAACTCAACTGTGCCTGACACAATGAGATTAAATAAACTAAGAAGTTGTAAATTGAATCTTTAAATTATTTAGACCTGGCATTTAAATGTTTTAGCATGGTTAATGATTATAGTCATCTTAGTTGTTGAAATTGTGGGTTATATGAATGCTCCATGGTTGTAATTTTGGTTTGCTATGACTGGAAGCAGTGGACTTAAATAATTTATAAGTTGTGCATGTTTTATGTTTGCAGTTTTATTATAACAATTGCAATGAATGATAATATGATTATAATCACGTTTGGGACTGAATCAAATGATCTATTTTTGTTGTTTATGTCGGGTCATTGTCAGTATATGGCTTAATGATGTGTGTTGTGTGGTTGAGCTGTCAAATGAGTTCAGACCCACTCTATGTCACTGTTAAGAAATGGTTGTGATATGTTAAATGTTACTTGTGTCATTGTTAGGATATGGTTACAATATGTTATATGTCATCGTGCCATTGTCAGGATATATAGTTACGGTAGTTTATGGTTGGTGTGCCATTGTCAGGATATGGCTAGATATATATAGTTATGTGTGCCCTAATACGAACTTAAGGTATCGGGATCAGTGGTTAGAATTGAGGCGTGTATTGCAGGTCGAGATAGGTAACTGGATATAGGGACGTGTGTGCCCTTGTATAAGGAGGACTCGTAACTACCTTGTGTGCGCTTTTCACAAGATACTCACTATCCAGTTGAGTCTGCCTTTTAGTCCAATGAGAGTCTTTAATGTGTGTGTGTGTGTGTGTGTGTGTGTGTGTGTGTGTGTGTGTCTCTATCGACTACTTAGATATTGTATGAGTTAGTTAGGGATGTATCATTTCTCGGGTCTCTGTTTGGGTTGTTATAGAAAGGACTTGTTCGTGGGTTTTCACACACATTTGTTATATTTTTCAGGTCCTTATCAGTAACAAGCTTAGAGGTTGTCCGATGTGATACCCCCAGGTTTTCAAATGCGGGTTGGCTAAACCCGTGCCCGAACACCCAAGAATATCAAAACAAATGGCAATAAACAAATACAGAATACAATTATGATAAATAGAAATAAATAAAAATTGCTGAAAGAAAACTAAAATGATAATCCAATGATGAAAACTTCAGATTAAATTTTTATATATAAGAACTATTCTGTTACATCCAATACAAATACAACTTGGGAATCCATTTAGTGGACCCTTAATCAAAACCCAACTGAAGATATACTAAACTAAAAAGAAAATCCAAAACTAAATACAAATAACAGTCCTACGCAGTCGGAAGAATGAGTGACCATTTATGCTCAGCACGAACAAGCTTTAAGATTGGAACCGTCCGATACCTGAAAAATAATAGTGGGTCAGACCCACGAACAAGTTCTATTCTAATTACAATCCAAATAGAGACCCGATACGCAGATACATCCTAGACATCTCAACAATATCTATCTAGTGCATACACATATATATCTACACTAAATGACTCTCACTGGACTATAATGGGGGTCTCAACCTAAATATAAGACAACATGCAAAACGCACCAGTGGTGGGTATGAGCACCTAGCCCTAACAGAGTACACCTCAACCATCATAGCTAACTATGCATCTCAATGCATATACGCTCCCTAACCAACGATCCCGAGACTCAAGCTTATATCGTGGCACCATAAATATATATCTAAACTCCGTCCAAAACCAAAATATGTCATTCAATTGTTCATTGATCTGACATAAGACTTCCATTCCAGTTAGTCACTCAACTTATTCAGTTGATCTGTCTTAACTACAAATAACAATTT